TTTATTTATGTTTATTTAGAAGCTACAAAGTCCCAATTATAGGATAAGGTAAAACAGAAAACCTTAACTAAATTTTAAAAGAAAAAGACAAACTAACATTAAATATAAAAATATAAATACTACATAACATAGAGCAATCAAAATATAAAATCCAGACAAAAAACTTAAGGATAAACAATAACAGACAGATAAAACAAATAAGCTAACAAACATATACAAGATAAGGATTACATTTACTAGACAAACAATTTTTTTATGTCATTCATACAATGAAAAAATATATCAAGTCGATCTTCATACTTCTGGTAATTGGAAATCATTTGATATAGGGGAGATGCTATTAGTAAGTTGGTACGAGGTGTGGGTAATTGTAAAACGGAGTGAAATCTAGAATTAAGTCTAGGAACATGATATAAAATCCTTGAGACTAACGAGTCTGCATTTAACGTGTTATTTATGATTTTAAAAAGGAATATAATTGAAAACATAATTCGCCTACGACAGAGACTATTAAAATTAAAACAAGAAAGCAATAAATCTTGAGGTGTACCACGAGGAGGATAAAATCCATAACTAATAAAATGAATAGTCTTTAAAAATCTCCGTTGTACTTTCTCTAAATGAATATTATAGATATTATAAATGGGACTCCAAACAACCGATGCATATTCAAGTTTGCAACGCACAAATGCTGCATACAATATATTTAGAATCTTTACGTTCTGAAAGTCCTTAGAATTACGCAAAATAAAGCCTAAATTCCTATAAGCAGATTTGGTTACTAAACTAATGTGGTCGTCAAACGATAATCTGGTATCGAAAGTAACACCAAGGTCAGTAAATTGCGTAACTCTATTTAAAAAAGATTCACCAATTTTATAATAAAAATCTAGATTAGTTTTGCGTCGACTGTAAGTCATAAATTTACATTTACTCACATTCAGGGGTAGATTATTACATGAACACCAATTGTGTAATCTGTCAAGATTATCTTGTATTGTAGTGTATAGTGTTGTAAATTTGACAACACTGTAAAATATGTATAAATTTAAATGGATAATTTCGTCTGCTCCTGTATAATCCAGGCATACTGAATATCAGTTTAAACTTGGAAATGAACATTACCATGAGTTATTTTAATTGCCCAAATTTCATTGTTGTCATGGTAACGACTTAGAAGTTATAATTGGAATTTGTTTTTCAAACTTCTTTCTTTGAAGGCGAATAACTCCACAACGAAGCCCGATAGGAAAAAAAAAATATATGAAGTATTACATCTATTTTGACCTCCTCCATATACCCCTTAATTTTTTACATGGCCTTTCCGGACACCCTGTATAGGTCTATTTTTTTCTAACGTAAGTTGTTTCTAATCACATACTTTTTCTCGTGTCAAATTTTTACCAAATTCTATATTAATTATATGTACCTATATTAAAGCAATTTTTGTACGGTTTGTTCTATTGATGCTGTTATATCATATTTGGGAATATCTTTTTGCATCAACGTATAAATTAGTTCGCTACTTCTATCTAATTTTCTGACTAAAACTATCGCGATATGTATGTATACATGCATTTAGTATGAAATATTTAAATTTACTGATTTTACAGTTATGTTATTCAATGTTAAAATAATTGAGAGGTGTTTACTAAAAATAAATATTTTCTTGCCTATAGATACTCAACTTTTACATACAATACATACTTCTGTTTTACCTTAGTAATTACAAAGATTAATACTCAAATTTGAAGATGGTAGAAAACAATCTTAGGTATTAATTATTATCGCATAGACTATTCTAACAGACTGTCAAAATTGTTCAGTTCCCTTAAGAATCCATTCAAGCATCTCACTGCATGCAGATTGTAACGAGTAGTCATTGATTTTGAACCGTCATTAATCAAAGCTGTCAATTTCATTTCATTCGCTCCATTAGTTATCTGACTGGATTTAAAACTAGGATGTTTGTGGTGTGCCTGTCTATGCTCTAAAGCCGAACATCATAAACGTGAAATTTTTGTGAAATCGTACACTACGCCTACGAACGCAAAGGGGAGATTATTCATCTTTTATTTGTATAGAACTTTTCGAGGTATGAAAAAATATGCGCGGATCTGATGGATGACCGCCATTGCAGGAAAACGGAAAGAGCAAATAGCAAACTGCAAGTGGGGGTCTTCATGGTATGATGATATGAGTATTTGATTTAAAAATACAATCTCAGTAAAACCACCCTAAGGACTGCTATGTCATCGTAATTATTTTTACCAATTTCATAAATAACATTGTGAAAGTTCACTATTTTCTTAACAGTTTTTGTTAAAATAGTTAAACACTAGCGGGTCAAGTCTGCACTGGTTCTGCCAGTGTTGAATTCTTAATGAAAAAGTCGCTGTGATTCTGATTTTTTGGGTTTGAAAATGGATATAAACAATGGAAGTATATTGTTTTTTAAGATAACGCTGATAAAATCAGTAACAGGCTTGATCGAATCAACATTTTTCTCTAAGCATATAACTTTATCTTTTTTAATAAAAGTTACTGTGATGTGTGCAATTGGGAAAATAATTTCGAGCGTCAGTTCTTAGAGCTATTAACTCTCTAATGACGATCAACCATCAGTTTTCGAAAACTTAAATTTTTTAACACTTGGCAATAGTAAAATTAATTAAAGAATCTACTTTTTTTACTATTAGATGATAGGTACCTAGCATACCCAAAATAAAGGAGAAGTACTTTTTTTCCTTTACTTTGAATGTTTCTTACTTGAGAGACAAGATAGAGTAACTGGGCATACCTTTTGACTTTTTTTTCTTAATAAATTATGATACTGCTAAATAAAACTGCAAGTAACCACTTATACAGGAGAATGTATTGCGTTTTAAGGAAATGAGAAACTAATGGTTTTAGAATTACTTTAAGTGAATTTAAATCTGTGGCAAGTTTAAAATGCGATATATATTTTTTTTGAAATACCAATTACGAAGAAATTAATTTACCAATTTTCAAAAGATTGAGTCGATATTCGGGTGTAACATAATTATATACAAATTCAGTGATTTTTTGTTTTATTTAGGTAAGTTACCGATCGAAGTTTCTTTATTTTACGTCAATCATCTTTAGAGACATTTGTATTTGTAATATTTTTCAAAAAACCCTGTACCTCGAAAACTAAGCCATTTACGAGATTTACTCATAGGAACCTTTTACTTAAAACTGAACATATTGAAAGATTCCACCGTCTACTGGACACCCTATAGAGAGAATATAATTTCTATGCTACAAATTTTCCCAGAATTGTTTTTCTTTCCTTTCTCCAGATTTATTTATTAAAAATTAAGGAATTCTCTCTGTCCCAAATATGTAATCTAAGGATCTACGAAGTTATGGAGTGGATTTGTGATTACATACATCAAATATAATATGTTGAAATTCAACTGGTTGGCTCTTTTGAGCCATGAACTCCAATCTCAAAATGTTCTTTTCTAACAACATTAAATGCTAACATAATCTTATAACGAATGTTTTCATTGACAGGGTGTTAAATTACTAAAAGTTGTTTTCAAAAGTTTCTAAGATAATACTTAAGGGGGTTATTTCATACAAATTTTTATGAAAAATGTTTCGACCGGAAGACATAATGTGTGAAAGTTGAAAAAATTAAAACTGTTTCTAGACATATCATGATAAATTAAACTTTTTTTTTTTAATTTGACATGGAGAGTACGATCTGGACCTTGAGGTAAAATTTTATGTAGGTAATTACAAAAAAACAGTGAGCACAAAGTTAATTCTTGGGTTTTTTTAAATAAATAAAATAAATTTTAGGACCCTAAGTAAAACATAAATTATATTTAAATTTTTTAATAATTTTTAAGTATAAGAGGAATACTTGCTGGATGACGTTAAATGCATTACGGAGAAAAATATCACTCTATTTAATATTTTGATGAAAACTGAAGTGATTATATTCTGAAAATAAGGCATGGGACCCATACTGTCTATTAGGAGATGATTTGTAGTCTCACAAAGTTCAATTTCTTGAGGAAAAATTTCGAACAAAATTTGTAGAGTAAAAAATGAAAATAAGAGCTGCACAGGTATACACAAAATATATATTTTTTTGATAATCAACTAACATATAAATTGTACCTGCGCTTTTTTTAGATATTTTTCACAAAATTAGATTTTTTTCGTAATTATAACTAGGTATTTAAATTTTATTATGGTATTCTAACGTCCCCTTTTTCAAAATTCGTAAGAAAAACGAAAATATTGCGAGATATAAAAAGGGACCTGATTATATTTTTAAGTTGATTATAAAAAAAATAGTTTGCACATGCAACCTCTATTTCAATTTCTTATTTTGCAAATTTCATTTATACCAGCACCTTCGCCATAATTTAGAATGAATCAGGTTCTATTGTTCCAAAAGTAAGGAAATTGCTCGAATTTTGTGCTAAATTTGTGAGAATTTTTTACTTTTGTAACATTTTAAAAGCCACTTTAAAATATATTTTTCTATTTAAATATGTAAATAGGTCTTATCCGATGTTGTATAATAAGAAATATTGCATTTAGTGCAGAAAAATTTATTAATAACTAGGTACACGCATAAAAAATAACTGAAAATTTAGGATGGCTTTCATAATACACTCCAATAATAGCTTTCCTTTTCTCGTATTTTTCTAGAATATAGAAAATAAAAATAACTTGTGTTTCCAGAAAAATTGGACAGTTGATCTCGAAACCATGGCGATGTTTTGAGATTCCTTTAACTGATACAAGAGATTATTCGTTTTCAGCCATTTTTGCGATGTTAATTACATTTTTTTCTTTGTGGCTATTTTGAAAATATAAAATCACCCTGCATAATGCAAATTCACTCCGCCTTCTTCCAGTGAACGGGACAGATCTATAGTAAACGGGTCACCCCATACATAAATAAAACGGTTATTAGTCTTCAGTAAAATAAAAGGTCATTTCGTTTTCAGGAGGCGACAATCCCCACTATAACGAATTCGACAGCGGCGGCAGCAAACCCGTGAAAGTGGAGCCGCAGAACGCCATCACCATTTTAAATAACGTTTTGCTTAGGAAGTCGGTCGTTTCCAAGTTATCCAGATACGATTTGCTTCTGGGTGTAGTAAAGGCAGAAGCTTATTTCGCATTTAACGGCGAAGACGTTCAATACGGCATCGAGGCAGACAGGCGCTCCAAAATCCTCAGGACATTCGTAAGGAACACGTACAGTTACCACCTCTCCGAGATCCTGGCGACAATAGTTAATGAATACACAGACTGGGAGAGACCCGTTCAGCATCCAATCAATATAAGAGACGAAACTCTCGAGGCATTGTCGGATGCACAATACGTGGCCCCGGTGGTGCACACTGCGGATTTGCATTCTGCTGAACACAGGAATTCTTATCTCTACGTCTTTGATTACCAGACTAAGTTCGGGGATTATCCGCAGGTAAGAAATTCAATTTCGCTGTATCCAGTTTCTGGGCTTGGGGGACATTTGTTTATGCACGTCGAGCTTATCCACAAATTATGTGCTCTCAGTAAATTTCGCACAACGTTGTGTAAGATTTTGCGACAGTTCTTTTAATAATAGGCCAACCCATAGAGATTTTTGGCACATTTAAATATTACAGCAAACTTCCTGTATTACCTATAGAAAAATACTTAGCAAATGAAATCCCAAGTGATTTCTCCAGCAAAGTTGTGAACAATCTTTTCTTTAACAATAAAAACTGCAAAAAATGATATTTTATTGATTTTTTATATCTCGAAAAATAATGATGGAATCGTCCTACTCTCATAGGACTTTTGTAGATAATAAAAAAACCTATAAAATAGTTTTTTATGCGACCCGATAGGTTCATTTTCTACAGAGAAAATTCGGAATAATCTCTAATACAGACTCTTTTTCAAAAATTCATAACTTCATCAAATTTGAAAGTGGAAAAACAATCTTGCGGAAAATGACAGATAATAATATGTAGTTTAATCATGTGCAACATGGTTTCTGTTCGATGCATAGTTTTTGCACAATTGCATTATAAACAAATTAGGGTCTTTTCTTGCACAGCGTGGCGATTTATCAAAAATGGTCCGATTTAAATTCTGAAAACGGCATCTGAAAGTAGACGACAATATCTCCAATTTGTATATCTCGGATGTTCGCCTGGGTGATGGGAAATATGTTAAAAATGCCCTTGAAAGTCGCCCGAAACAACCGAAAATTCGCGCAAGCCAGAGTCCTCCGCTCGCTGCTTCCCCCACTATCGCTCGCTACCCGACTCTGGCTCGAACGTACTTTTGACCGGATCGCATAAAAAAACCTTTTATAGGGTTTTTTATTCTCTACAAAAGTCCTATTCGATTCCATCATTATTTTTCGATATTAAAAAAAAAATAAAAAAATGTCATTTTTTATTTTTTGTCAAAAAAAATTGTTCACGACTTTGCTGGGGAAATCACTTGGGTTTTCATTTACATACCAAGTATTTTTCAAAAGAAATTACATGAAATTTGCTGTAATATTTAAGTGTAAAAACGGCCTACTTTTTCGCTCTATTAGTTAGCCTACAACGGAAATTTGAAAACGCTTCATTGTGGAGTTGTGTACATTGACATAATATTCTACCCCTTTTATCTTTTTTGCCCTTCCATCTAACAAAAAATGACAAAGACCAAAATTTTCGTAAATTTTATTTCGATATTTGAAAACATATAAAGAACCACTTGAATGTGGTGTTTAGGGGATATGCCACCAACCATATTTTTGTTTCTTTTTTAAATGGAGCAGCCTGCATATTTGTCTTTTTTTGAATATCTGGTTCTATTTTACTGATTAAAATGGTATAAACATATTTGCTGGTCAAGAATACCATGAAAACTACTGCATGTGATGATTTCCACTGTTAAATTTACGAAACAAATCTTTAATTTCTCTATTAACAAAAAATATCTTATTGTTAAAAGTGTTTAATAATTCTAGATGAAGATAGACATTCCAAGCAAGTTTTTTTTTAAATTACCCCGTTACACACCCCATTGGTAGTATTAACTTCGTTCAATATTTTTCCCTTAGGTCATATAAGTAAAGATGGATCTTTGTTGAGAGTGTTTCAGAATCCTCCATAGAAAGAACTACGTGAAAGTCAAATTAGACTTTCTTAGGGATCAAAAGAAAAACACTTAAAAGAATGTCCTCTGTTCGGAAGACAATGCGGCTATTATAAAACTTATAGTTTTACATGACATGGGTCAAATTTTCAAAACAAACACATAATATAATGTATTACCGTATTTAGAAAAAGAAGTGAGTTCCAAAAAACTACAAAAATACAGGGTGTCTCATTACAAAAAAACAAAATTTGGTTTATATCATTGAAATGCAACATTTAGTTGTTTTTTTATATTTCTTTTAATACAATACCGAAAAAATTTATATAAAAAGGCAAAAAAGATAAGGGGGTAGGATATTATGTAGATGATCCTGTGCATTTTAATAATGCAAAGTACTTATACATGATACTTCACAGCATGTGTAACATATTAAAAAATGTTTGACTTAAAATACAATATACAGGGACAAACACAAGACTAGTAGTTATACCCTTATCCCTAATTACAAATCGTCATTTGAATATTCATTAGTGCTATAATAATATGTATTTGATGAGTAGCATGTCTTTGATTATATTTTTTTAAATTTCCATATGTTTAGGTGTATTATAAAATTTAACCCCTGGTACATAGACACTTCAAATTTGGTAGTTTAATGCTTTAGAACACTCGTCACCACTATTCCGCGTGGAATATTCATGATAATGAGAGTTTTTACTAAAGTGACTTATATTCTCTTTAACACATATTAATAATTTATAGAAGTTACAGGGAAACATTAAAATATTGTTTTCCGCGAATATAATTCTGCATGTTTCGCGAGAACTAATGTCAAATACTTTCCTAAGGATCCATTCCTGGTCCACAAATATTCGATTATTGCTGACTGAATAGCACCACAAACTAACGTTTTAGAAATATAACAGTATGCTAAGCTGTAGTATACCGACATGATAATCTTAGCAAGAGAAATTGCGTAGAACGATTTATTGAGTGTCCTACTGAGTACATCCACAGTTTCATGCCACTTTAATTGATAATCGAGATGAACACCTAAAAACTTAAGTGCTTTCAGAAGAATGTAAAATGAAGTTATTAAAATATAGGCACGACTTAGTATCAGGCACGCTAAGAGAGGCAAAGTACAGAACTTTTGTTTTTTAATGTTAACAATAAAATTATTACATTCACACCACTTTACGAAATAATAACATTTTCGAAATTTGTAGTGAGTTCCTTGGGGATCCTAGCTGAGGTCACTAGAGACGGATCATCAACAAACAACGTTAGTGCGGAAAAGTCAAAATGTTTTACCATATCATTAACATACAGGGTCGGAAAGTCCCCATGGTTCATCGGCCGTTACGTGAGAGCGATAGAGAAAGTCATAGAAATCCGTGCGATAGAGAAAGATGGCTATAATGAAGGCGTCTAATAGTCACCGCCCATTTCGCCCTTCCACAAATAAGATCGCTCTTACGTAACAGCCGATGAACCATGGGGACTTTCCGACCCTGTATAGCAAAAATATTAATGGACCCAGCAATGATTCCTGAGGTACCCCTAAGTACACTTATTTATTTTAACACACATGGATTTATCAGTGAGATAGTGGATCAACCAATTTAAGAATATCCCTCTAAATCCCATATTATATATTTCAACAAATGAGATATTCAGTTAAATACACGCATCACATCAGAGAAGGGTATTTCCTGTAACTTGTTTCATCTTGTAATTTTTGCTACTGAAAAAAATTGAATTGTGTTATGATGAAGTGGGTTCAAAGACGGGGAACACATCCTTATAAAATATGACGATTTCATTAAATATTGTATTAAATTAATATAGATAACTTATATGCGTGCTTAACTAACGTATTGCAATGTCAAAATTAAAAGTACGTGGTGTATTATGATTTTTCCCAATAATTTTTCGAGAAATCAGTTTTACAGTTTTTATCGAAAATCTGACTACGTAGCAGTCTGGGTAATATTGTTCCATATCCCCTAAAACCCCAGAGTTCCAAATTTCATGACATAAAAAGTTGTCATGCTGGTAAAAAACCTATTTACCTATTTTTTCTGTTTCTAGTTTTATTTATATTCATTTTACGTTTCTTTCTATAACTTTCATTTAATTCCAAAGTTCAATAGATAACCAGATTATAATACTTTTTTTGTATTTCAGTAATATCAAAGTTTCATAGCAATGTTATTGATAATGATAATTATATGAAATTTAAGATTTCCAGGTTTTAGGGGATGTAGAACTGTACCCACTACATTATTAGATTTTCGATAAGAAATCGCTAAAAAGAAATCATAGCATGCCATAGATTTATGATTATACATCCACCACGTACACCTAGGAGTGATCGTTATGCAAAAAAAATAATATTTATATAAAATTCTACCCCTTATCCTTTTCACCTTTCTATTTAGGAAAAAATGGTACAGTCCAAAATTTTAGATTATCCTGCAGTTTTATAGAAATAGGACATTTCACGTCAAACCGATCACACAAAATTTGATTTGACCGATTTAGATGTATAAGGTCTTAAAATGTTCGTCTGTTAAGAAGCTTTCAAAAGAAATGTGACGTTTTGAGAAATTCAATATGGTGGATAAAATATGGCTTCTACAAAATTCACTCTTCATGGTAAATTTAGGAGAAAACATTGATAACATTTTCAAAAATGAGTGAATATATCCCAAATGCATATATTCGACTGTTTTTGGGTCCTCTGATTACGAATCTATCATTGGAAATAAATTCAGGTCACTTGAAGGTTCACCACTGAAAATACTGTGAACAAGAGGACAAAAGTTATAAAGCCGTAAAAATGATTTATTATCATCTGAACATCGGTGGCATGGATTAGGATTTTTACTTCAAAAGAGGGATAGATAGTTGAGGAACATATCTGCCATTTTCAATTTTGAAAATCCAATGGCTTTGTAATGAGAATTCCTAAGATCCTCCAGACTATATCCTTTCAGTGATCTAAGTAATCTGTAATCGGTTTTTGCCGACAAGAAGAAGATTCAGGCTTCTTCGTACGCCATATTGAATCCTCCATTTTGAATTTTAAAACTTCATTAGTAAATTTATAATCGCATTTCCTAAAAACTCCAGACATTACCTTATGTGAGATGTAATCGTTTTTTGCCGCAAAGAGGGATAGTTGGGGTTCCTCTTGGGCCATATTGGTTCCGCCATTTTGAATTTCAAAACTCCAATGGCAAATTTGTTATCAGGGAACCCAAAAGCCCCCGGACTCTAACCTTCAAGTGACCCGAAATCGTTATGGTACTGTTATATGGGTACTATGTTTCATATATATATGTCCATATTGGACCCGCCATTTTGAATTTATTTCCGATGATAGATTCGTAATCAAGAGTCTAATATATGCATTGGGTATATATTTTCCCATTTTTGAAAATTCTATCAATTTTTTTCCTAAATTTATTATGAAAAGTGCATTTTGTAGGCGCCATATTTGATCCACCATATTGAATTTTTCAAAACGCCACTTTTCATCTGAAAGCCTCTTAACAGACGAACATTTTAAGACCTTATTACGTCTAAATCTGTCAAATCAAATTTTGTGTAAGTAGGGTGATGGATTTGACGTGAAATGTCCCAAAAATATAATAAACAATTGACTGTTGCATTTGGAAGATATTAATCAAACTCTTTTTGTGTTAATGTGTAACACCATGTACATTTGTCGCTTTTCGAAATACCCTCCTCTTTTAATTATTGTGAAATACACAATACATATCTATGCACAATATTTTGGTTTATTTACTGACCCTCTACAATGGATAAAGTCAAGACCAGTGCATATTTATACTTTTCCATAACTAAATTTACACAAAATATTTAAATACTTTATAAAGATAAAAATACTACACTATAAAAGATGTTTTGTAATAACTCCATTGTTCTATACTGATGATATTTTTTTTTATATTTTTTCTTATAAAGTGATGTTATATGATCCGCAAGAAGCCCTAATTTGGCCTCATGTAGATCTGTCCATAGGGAATTCTGAAAGATGAAGTAAACAAAGAAGATCTAATAATTTATATGACCTAAGGGAGAAAATATTGAACGAAGTTTATACTATCAATGATGTGGGTAACGGGGCATTACAAAAAAACTGACTTGTAATATATGGGCTTTGTCTAGAACAAGATGAAGGTATTATAAAACTCTTTTTGTAATAAAATATTTTTTCTTAATATAGAATTTAAAAATTTAATAGTGGAAAACATACCCACGCAATAGTTGCATGGCAATCTTGACTATGTGCAGGGTCAGTAAATAAACCAAACATATTGTACAAACTATGAAAGCAATGGTGACAAAAGTTTGGCTTAAATCTTCGAAATGCAACAGTTAATAATTGTCTTTATATAGATTTATTTCAAAGCGTAAATTTCCTAAAACTTTGCTTTTTTTTAATTATTTTTTTCCTAGATAGAAAAGTAAAAAAGATAAAGAAGGCAGAATGTTATATTAACGATGTACATTGAGCATATAATGGTTGGAATAAATTCGTTTAAAGTACAGGTATTTTTTCTCGGAAAAATGCTCGCTGCTGTCAATTTTTGGTTTCAGTTGGGGATTTTTAACTGCGTAGATAGATGTTGGCCTAAAAAAAGGTTTCGTATTAATCTTTGTTTTTTAATGGAAACCTTTATTTATTTTTCATTTTTTAACTTTCTTTTTATACTTCGTGTACTATGATGTAGACTGAACATTTTTCAAGAGAATCATTATTTTGTTGCAAAAAAACTAAAATTTAAAATACAATTAATTATTATTAATAGATTTATTAATCAAATTTTCAACAAACAAATTATTTTAACATTTATTTGAATCGATTAGCAACATCTTAGATACTTAGTTGAGATGATATTCGAATTTTTGTAGAAGCTCTTGTAGAATATTTAGCAA